CAATAATCATATTCAAGTAATTTATATTATTCTATTATTTGTACTGAGAATATAATGGTAAAAATTGCTGGGTATCGTGATGAATTGGATCGACTTATATGATGGCATGCTGACAGCCTATACCGTAAATTACCGTGTAAACTAACCGGATATTTTACGTTCCACCTAACAAACCTTGATTTATACCCGGTTATATTGTATGACAGGAGTATATTACATGAGTATATTGTGAAAAAGAACCCATTAGAAAAAAAGTTTATTAAATCGGCCATTTATTTATTAAACCCGGGTTTCTTACAAAATACCACCCGGTGACCTTGAAACATACCCGGTACAAATCAAGGGGAGTACAAACCAAGCTGACAACCTATACTAGACATGTTTCAATTTATTATTTTTTTTTTTTGCGTTTTAAAATTTAATACATTATCCTATAACTTTTTAAAGAACAATCTTAAAAATTATCTGGTAACTTTGTTCATAAATATTTATAAAATTGTCAAGTAACTTTAAAAATATTGCTTCTATAAAAAGTTAATGCGTTTTAAAGTTCTACCATTTTTATTGTCTAGTATGGGCCACCAGCACCAGATAACATTCCGATCGCTGGATCGCGAGATATTTCAATTAGTCTTTTTGTCAAAATACCTTATTTATTTTTATTTTTATAATCATCCCTTACATCATCTTCCAGGAGATATGAGATAATTAAGCATGCGTACTTAGGTAAATTTGCCCGCAATTACCTCAGATGTAAGGGATAAAACATAATAAGGAATTAACATTTATATCATTTAGTTATATTAAATATTTGTTATCAACTGATAAATTCTACTTTTATTTAAAAGTTCAAAAGGTGAATTATTTTTTTTTATTTTTAGAAAAAAAGAATGCTTTATTGTTAGCAGTAGTGCACCGATTGGTTCTATTCGACTTAGTCGATAGATCATTAGTGAGGTTGCCTTGAAGATATAAATATTTAAATTGATTTTGCATCATAATTTATTTCCTACATTGGAAAACTCCAATTTATTAGAATTTATTCATTATCTGAATTATTTAATTGACCCATTTGACCCGGGTCAATGCAATTTTTGATCCATAACCCGTCAAGATGCCGACTCGTACGGGTCAACTTGACCCGGGTAACAGCTCTATAGATCATGAATTTAAAAAAAATAAATAACGATCGATAAATAAAAGAAAAAAAAAAAACTGCGGTTTGAATTTTAATTAGTTTTGTATTAAAATTCTGCCGTTGCCAGGAATCGAACCTGGGCTAGCGCGGCCACAACGCGATGTACTGCCACTATACGACAACGGCCTCATTTATTAATCGTTTAGGTTTATAAATATTTATATCCAAATTATATTTTAAGGTTGTACAAATGCAAAATGACGATATCCCTGCGGATAAAAAATATCTAGATCAAATCAGTAAATGAATTTATATAAAAACGTTCTCTCATACTCAGCTGATATCTAATACATTCTAAGTAAATTTAAAAGCCTGAAACTAGTTTTTTTTTTAGCAGTTATGTTGTATTTTCTCAGTAAAAGCCCTGCTTTTTTGGTTTTATTTAGAGCTTAGAGATGTCTTTCTCAAGAAGTTTCGTTTTTAGCCAGGGGTTCCACCTTTCGCCGGGGGTTTCGTCTTTCGTCAAAGGGTCTAGCATTTCGTCTTTCACCGGCTTTAGGTTTCGCCCTTCTCCGTTTAAGAAAATAGCTTCTCCTAACAACTATATTTCGAGGTCTAAGTATACACTTCCAGATCTCCCATATGACTATGGTGTAAATATTCAATTTTTCTTTTTTATTTTGGTCGGGTCTCTTAAAAGTTTTGCTAGTTAGCAGCTTTGTGATATAATTTAGCTATGCTCGATTTTATTTGTAAAAAGGCTCTTGAACCCATTATTTCAGCTGAAATAATGCGAATTCATCATAGCAAACATCATCAAGCGTATGTTAATGGACTTAACATGGCCGAAGAAAAATTTGAACAAGCGTTTAGAGATCAAGATGTTACTGCACAAATTGCTATACAATCTGCATTAAAATTCAATGGTGGAGGTAATATATGTCAAAATTATGGTTTTATTGTATCTTTACCAATATTATAAAATTCAAAAATTTTTTTTTAGGTCATGTTAATCATTCCTTATTTTGGACAAATCTCGCCCCCACTAAAGAAGGTGGTGGTGAACCTCCTAAAGGTGTGTGTCGTTACCGATGAACAAATATAACAACTGAAAAGATCTTTATATCGGCTTATTCAATGAGTATTAATTTTATTAGGAGCTCTTCTTAGCGCTATCCAGAAAGAATTTGGAACTCTTGATGAATTCATTAGTAAATTTAACACAACAACTGCTGCAGTTCAAGGTTTGCGTAGTTTATTTATTTATTTACTGTATTTATTCTGTATTTATTTATTTATTTTTTTAAACAAAAATTTATTATTAATTCACACTTATATAAATATTTGCAATTTCAAATTTACAGGATCAGGCTGGGGTTGGTTGGTGCGCATAGTATATTTATATTAACTATTATTTTTATAAATTTAGTGTAATAATTTCTTTTTTTATAAACGAAAAATATTCCTCTAAATTTCATAGGGTTATAACAAAAATAGTAAACGTCTTGAAATTGTGACACTTCCAAACCAAGATCCTTTAACAAGTAAGATTTTAAATTCGTTATTAAATCATAATTGTCTATTTACAAGTTTAAAACTTTTCTTTGAAATATTAGCTCATGTACCTCTCCTTGGCATTGATGTCTGGGAACACGTATGTATACCATTTTGTTGTAATGATTTTTTAAAATAATTCCCCGATCACTATGTCAATATCACGGGGGATTAATGAATAATCCGTATATGAGTAAGCGGAAACAAAGTCTTCCGCTAATCCCCAACGGATCAGGTTATTGTTATTATTATAAATACCAAGGTTATTTGTAACCAAATATTATATTTCAGGCCTATTACTTGCAATACAAAAATGTTAGGCCTGATTACTTGAAAGCTATTTGGAGTGTGGTTAATTGGAAAACAGTAGCTGAAAGATTAGCAAAGGCTCAGTCGTCTTCCGAATGAAATTATAAAGGTAAATACAATATTTTTAATCTGAATTTTACAGGTATGTGCATTATCATTATATCAATCGGCTATTAAGTTGCTTCCTAACTTACTATAACATTTTAAAGACTTTGTGAAATACTACAAATGACTATCAAATGAATCAATTTAAATATGAATAAATATAAAAATTATTTTATAAAAAAAAAAGATTCATAATCTGTTTTTTTTTCTTTTGTTCAAAGTCCATGTATATATTCCTTTTTTTTTTTTTTTAGAAGAAATCCAGTTAAAAAATAAAATTAAATAATTACACATTGTAAAGATTTTTCTTTTATGAAAATTAAAATATAATAATAATGAACAGAAGAGAAACTTTACACAAAAGGGTTGGGTAAGAAAAATCAAAAATTACTTTATCACATACCAAATATAGCAATCAGTAAAAATATCTTTATACATTATGAGCTGCATCTTCTGCTGATTCACCTTGACTACTTGAAACATCCACTCGACCACCGGTACTACTACTTCCTTCACCACCATTATTATTGTCATTATTATTTGTATTTTTTCCCTTTTTATTACTTCGTTCGTTAGCCATTTCAACAACATCCATACGACACATTGGGCATCGTCTATTCAACGATAGCCATTCGTCAACACAGTCCTTATGGAAATGATGTGAACACCATAAATTCCGTAGTTCATCACCATCTTCATACGCTGAAAGACAGATAGAACAGACAGCGTCATCGGGGTTAGGAATGGTAAGTGTTTGTTGTGCGACTGGTAAATGATGAGTGCCTTTCTTTTTTCTTCCGAATATATTAAATCGAGATTTTTTAGGCGTTGAAGATATTGGCTGATGACTTGATTCTGTCTGTGACACTGATACAATGGTATCAGTAGTTTGACTTTCTGATACATTAGAATCTCCTTGAAGTGCTTTAAACTTTGCCAATGGAATTTTTTGAATTACATCATCACTAGCACCGCTAATTCCAACTGCATCCCCAACATGAAGGATTCTCATTGCAACTAATACGCATGGTAAACAAAAAATAACAGCGAGGCATAATAATATAGGAATAGTGATTACGATGTATCCAAGAATAACCCATGTTAAAGAAAGAAAGAAAATTTCAGGTGCTTTGGTTGCACAATTTTGGGTAGTGAAAAGAAGATAATTGCCGATAATAAACCAAAGAGTTGCGAAAAGATCCAAAAAAGACTTAAAACTAAAATTCAGCCATAAGATATACAAAATTTTTTTAGAATAAAAAGTTGAATAAAAAAAAAAAAAATTTTTTTATACATTTTAATAATAATAATAAAACTTACCGGTCAACCCATGAATCTCTTCTTATTGGTTCATTGTTATCGTTTTGATTTTGTCCATTACGTCTATGATCTCTGGGATTTAAATGTAAATACACGTTTACTGGGCATGCAACTATCACTCGGATAATGTATAGTATTAAAAATACGTTAAGAGGTCGGTCGCACGACCTGTCGCGTAATGCTGATATCACAAGAATCGTAATTGTGACAACAACCTATCATTAAAATTGTTTTTAATAGAGTATATTAGTCAGAAAACACATTTGGTTAAGACAAAGAAATTATTTATAAAATTTAGAAATTTAGAAATTTAGAAATTTAGAAACAAACCTGAATAACGACCAATATGAGGGACATTATTAGCAACACCTTAGAAGTTCTAGAAATAGATCTAAAGTTTTCTAAGATATAGCCCCACCAATTCCGTCGAACCTGCCTTGAACCTGGGGCTGTCGCTCTCACAGACGTAGTAGCAAGAGAAGAAGAGTTTGGTGTAGAGGACAATACCGAGGATAAAACGGCAGACCTCGTCGACTGTCTTTGAGTTGGCATTGAAAAAGTTTGTTGAGAAGAATCACTGTTATTGTTAAGTGGAGTCGGTAAACTACCTATTGAAGTTGTGGAAGATTCAATGAGAGAAGAATTTTGTGAGTATAAGGGTGTTACAGTCGAAGTTCTGTCGACATTAGACGAGATATCGTGAGGATTGTTGTCCATATGGATAATTATAGAGAACAAATGTTCGTGTGAACAAAGAGTTATTATGTTCTGGACTTTATAAGTGGCTTTTCTTGTGTATATTTGTCACGAGACTAATATATTCTGTACTCTATATAGTTGTATAGTGTATACTTACTTGATAGTCTCGACAATGTGCTATTTCTTTATTATTTTATAAGCGTTATTCGTTATTATTCTTATTTCTTATGTTTCTTCAATCTTATAAAGTTCATAAATAAAGTATGGCTACAAAGAAAAGTTTAGCTCTTTTTTGTTTCATAAAAAAAAGAAACGTGTATTTAGTATAGACTAAAAAATGTAGGACACGATGATTTAATTGCGTTAATACGCACCATAATTACTAATTTAGAAATTTCTTGCAACAGTATCCTACATTTGTTACAAGGGAAAAAGAATTATTTTTTATCACGTGCAAAGTTATTGTTCACAAAAAATCGACCCACGTACCCATCCCACATGCCCATATACGTAAAGTGTTGTTAAATGTCACTAGACCGTTCTAGTGATTTCAGTTCCAAAGACTTCCAATGTTCACTAGAATGCAATAAAAATTTATTTTTTTCTTCTAGAATAGCCAAAGATGGTTCAGGCAATGTAACAATTAGTTTCATTCTAATTGTCACCTGGCTTGGATCGCCCAATACAGATTGGGCAAGTTTACGAAATACAGTTTCGCCCCGGGGGGGTACACAATTTAAATTATTGCGTCAGCATATGCTAAAATTAGCATATGCTAAAATTTGGGACCTATCTATATACTAAAATTCACAATTTCAGCATATCGATATATTTGCCACAATAATTGTGTCTCGAAATAACTTCCCCGGATGTTATTTCGCGTATATACTGTATTAATACTATATAGTATCTAAAGTCAATTTGAGCATACAGTATATATGTATATAGAGTGAAAACCTGAAAATTTAGTTTTCACTATAGCAAATTTAGCATCAAAAGAATTGTGATATGGGTGTTACGTTTAAAACAGTCCATTTTTTTACATATAAACAATTTGAGTAAATAGTAACACGTAAAATTTTTGAATCTTTTTAATTAGCTTTTTATAACCTACGAAAAACTTTTTAAACGTATTCAAAATAGGCGGTTATTTTAATATGTAACAACCCATATTATCAGTTATGTAAATTATCATGAGATACGTAAGATCATATTTGCGATAACGCATCATATATTCATATATCCAGTTGTCACTCGGCTACTTGGCCGGCCAATGGCTGAGGCCATTGGCAAAAAAAAAATTATTTGGCCAAATATTTGTATAATAAAAGCTAGTAATATGATTGGCTAATATTTGTAAGTTAAAAACTTTGGCTACGTAAAATTTTGCCAACACTGATATATATACTATATATATATATATATATCTGATATGTCACTTCTTATTATATATGTTATTTGCACAATTCTTTAATTTGTTACTATATATAAAAATTTAAATTTTTAGTTCTATTTTTTAAATAATTAGTGCGGGGTATCCTAGGTAAAAATGTTACTTTCCACAAACCTTAACTTTAAATGCTAACCTTATGAAAAATTTGCATTAAAAAATTTTGTATACAAAACTTATACGTAAAAACAGAAAAATCTAAAAAACATAATATATAAAATGATATATAAAAACATTGATTTTTAGTATACAGTGTGGGACAGAAGATATCCAATTTTTATATAGTAAATTTAAAATTATGCATTATTTATTTTGTAAAGGAAAAAACTAATTATACACTATGCGTATATACTGATCCGGTCGAAAAATAAGTATTCGAATATTCATTCGTTCAATCTGAATATTCATTGAATATTGATGATCATGACATAGAGTTGTTGATTCGGAACAATAATGAATTTAAGACAATATTATGAAGTTGAATAATTGAGAGTTTAAATACACAAGCACATTAAAATAAAATAAATCAATAGAGAAATTTCTAGCTAATAATTGCTCATCTACTTTGGGGTCATGATTATTAGCATTGCTAACCAATCAGTATATAAGATTGAGCATGACATATAACACCCAATCTTGCATTTAATTGGTCGATTAGATAGTATATATTCATTGAATATTCAATGAATTATTTGGTGAAAAATTTTATATTCGAATATTCGATTCAGTAAACAATTATATATTCGGATATTCGAATATTCATTGAATATTCGAATATACTATTCATCGGGTATTACAGTATTAATTTGCAAATCCATGTACGTAGCATACCAATCAAAATTTTTACAACCGAAAAATCAAACCCTTGCTTTATAGTTAGGGTAAGAGTGAGGTTTGGGATTGAGGCGAGAGTTAGTTTATACCAAAAATTTTTGTAAGGAATTTTTTTTTGTTAGAAGCCAAAAAGTGGTTTCATAATCGAAATTTTGAGGAACAACAATACCCCCGTGTATATACACTAGTGTACAAATAGTAATTGCCTTTTTTAAAACAGGTTAAATAAAAATCCCTCTTTCAATTTTATTTTTATCTAAAGAACAAATTTTAAAATTTTAATTAAAAAAGTTATAACAGTTTAAAAAATGTGATGTATATATACTGTATAGAAATCTTCCGATAGTGTAGAACGGATAAATATACATGAAGATTATTAATTAAAATACCGGCAATACCTATCAGGCCATGTCAATCTTAACGTCAGCCAAAGTCTGGACCGGTTTCCTGACTTCTGAACTTTAACGCGCATATAGTATTTATAAAAATTATGAAGGAAAATCCATTTTAGAATTTTTACGCGTTTTGATTGGTCATATATCACGTTATCTGCAAATTCCTATTAATTTGATTGGCTGAGTTAAAATAATTCAAAGTCATGTGACATGTCCCAAATTATGAAATTTAATTTCTTAATGCTGGCCAAAAAAAATTCAGCGTCCCTGATTTATAGCAGATTGCTTTGCAAATACAGGGTACTTCTCGTACTCCCTACCCTTGAATTTTTTTTTTACGTTAGGTTGGTTCCGTTACCGCATTTATTTTCATAAATCTTTTATATGGAATGTCACAGAGCATTGGCCGAAGTTGTGACGAACTCAAAAAAGATTACGACGCTTGTTTTAATAAATGGTACTCAGAAAAATTTCTCAAAGGAGACTTACGACCCGAATGTGAAGAAATATTCAGAAAATATCGCGACTGTGTTCTGGTAATTGTATCCTAGAATTTCTTTAGTCAGATCCGTTTATCAAACTTAGATAGAATTCAATATATTCATTTAACCCGAATTATCAAGAATGCAGTAAAGAACAAAAACATTGATAAATTGTTGGTTGAAGCACGTAAAGATGATCCATTTTCTTCCGTCGCCGAAAATAAATAAAATTATCTAAGATTCTATCATCCCAGCATCTTAAGTAAACCTTTACCCATGTCACATGAATTTTAAAGATTTAAGTTATTCTTTTATATGTAACGCTGGAGCCTGTTTTGTTTCTTTTTAGATAAACGTCTCATATTATTTCAAACGCAATTCTCTCGTTATAGTATAATAGCGAAAATTCGACACAATAAATATCTTGAAAATAAATATCTTGAATTACGGAATTATTAAACTTCAACTCAAATATAGTGAAGTATTCTCTTGGTGTAAGCTATAGTGCCGATTTTTTTTCATCTCAATGACTTCACTATAACGAATGCGAATTGTGTAAAGATGACTTAAAAAAGGTCAGCGGAATACAAATTGCCGGCTATTTTGCAGATATGTTAATGCGTCACATTATTCGAATAAATAGTATACAATCATTATGTAATTCTTCGTAATAGTTAATAATATATAATATCAATTCATAGATTACCAGACGCGTGCTTTAATAATTAGATTAATAATTCAGTTCTCGGCCAAAAAAGAAATCGTATTATTATGTTAATCATAGCAATGCCTTTGTTATAAAACTCATTAGTTGATCAAATTAGGATCCATATTATTCAAAGTTAGATCAATTGTGGTAATATCAAATGATGTAAATAATAAAGTAGGCATAATTATAGTATGCATAGAATTTGGATGTGACAATTATTTTTTCTTATTATATGAAGCTGCCGATTTCCTATTAGCGAATCCGCTCTGAAAAAAAAGTGCATACATATATAATATAGATTAGAATTATATTATAACGCGTAAATGCAGCAACAAATAAACGGTAAACCAGTCTCTACCAAGCCTATTTCAGCCAAGTCTTCATTAATGTCATTGTCACATAGCTTGCATGACACGGAAGGTCGTACGGCACTAATGTTAAGGACATAACCGATAAATAAAATAAAATAATCAACTTGATCAAGAGAATACTAAAAAAAAGGATATCTGACATTTTTTGTTTCTTTACTTTAACTTCAACCTCTTGTGTCGTCCTGGTACGCAATCTTCGTTGTGTATGAGTCCTCATAGTGCCGTCCATAGCAACATCTTTAATTAAATCGCCAAAAATACTTAGGAATTTCTCCTGTAAATTTTTAATGCAAAAGTGATTATAAATTTTAAATACCATTATGTATGTCATAACTTTCATAATCTTCTGAAAGTTTTCTTTTTCTTTCTTCGACTTCTGCAATTAATCTGTCATTGACTGCTTGACGTTGCGCCTGAACAAAATATCATAATTATTTACTTGTGTTATCAATTTTGCAATTCATAAGGAGATATACGTACCTGATAAGATTCTTCAAGACGTTGTGTTTCAGCTTCATATTCTTTTTGTATACATTGACGTTGATAACTTAATGCCAATGCATGCTGCTCGAGCATTTGCTCTCGCTTATCAATAATTTGTTGCAGGCGTTCTTCGAATTCGGGATGTGTACCTAAAATATTAAGGATTAAAGATGGTGTCAATGATTGTTCATATCATTTAAGCATCTAAACATTTAATTCATATACCTTCTCGCACAGCCTTGATTTCTTCATCGATATGTTTTAATTGTTCATTAAATATCCTATAAACACGTCACATATTGAATAAAAGTGAATGATTTATGAATGCACCTAAACACGTCTGGTTGTTGAGAGGATTAATTTTTCAGGATCTTTTCATCTAAACCTTAGGTGTTTGTGGTTATTGCAATTTGCGGGAATTGTGACCTTCTGATAAAAAGACGGACCCTTTACATGTCATATAAAGGAATAACGAGATTTCATAAGCATAAACAAAAAAATGATACATACTCATCACGTTTCTTTTTGAACTCCGCTTCTAAGGCCTGTAACCGGAGTTGTATGGTTTGTCGGGTTTTTAAAGTATCATGGTCAAGTTGTGCACGAGAGTTTGCTAAAAGAAAAAGTATGAAAAGCATGATTTAAACAGAACGTAATTTAGCAATCGAGGATACAACATACTTGCTGAAGATTCTGCATCTTCACGCTCAGGCTTGATTCCTTTAATTGCCTCATCTTCTTCTGTCTTTAAAGTTTCCACGGCAAACTGTGAGTCACTACCATCCAAAATCGTGTCTTGCATTATAATATCATGGTCCTGAGTTTGGTCACCGTCTGACGACTCTCCCTCGTAATAACTGGGTTTCGTTGTTGTTTGACGCGGCACCCGCTTTGTTTTGGTATGGGAATTTTTATGGTCGGCAGGCATTCGCTAAAGCAGGTAAAACTATATTAATTATCGAATAAGTTTAGAAAAAGAGTGCGGTGGTATAAGTTCGGGTTTTTAATGAAAAAGTTAAATTTGTATTATAAAAATTTTTGAAATATTTATCCTATTTTAGAGCTAAAAAAAAAAGTTATGTCACATGTATTATCATTTGTATGGTTGGCTGATGTAAGTTAATTGCTGGGTATATTATTTATAACACTTTTATACGTATACGTACTGCTGTACTGTTATAACGATAACTGATAAAGTAATGTTAATGTTTCACTAACAATATTTCGCAAAGAACGTTAACATCACTATACTATTACTAGTTATACTAGCTATATATACAATATACCCAATCCACTGTGATAAAAAGTTTCATTCATGTTAGGCTATATACAGATAACAACATCATGATAAAATCTTTCGTATATCGACATTTTTCTCAAAATTTTTAATATAAAATGTCGGTATAACTCACTGTATCGACATTTGAATTTTTTTTACCAATGAAAAAAAAATTGCAATATATCCAGAGTAACATGTAGTTGATTTTTGGTTCTTATAAAAATCAATTCTGCAACCTGTTTTTAATTTTCAAAAATGAATAATTAATTTTAATTAATACATAGATGGTTACTATTTAAAATTATACTTTATTTTTTTACTAACAATAACCCAATGTTGAAAGTAATAAATATTGAAATTGTTTGCTTAATACTATATACTATATTAGTCATAGAACATGTGCTATTACTTATAATCAAATAAGTTGATTTATCAAATTTATTTAAAATATATATATATTGTATAGTAAATCTTTTTTTTTAAATTTTAAATATATCTTTTTTAGTATTTGATAATTTTTAGTTTAAAGTTTTAGTTTTTTAAAGTTAATTATATTCTTTAAATCAAATAGCTAACCTAATTCAAACAATAATATAATTAGTTAAAATAATTTTTTAAAAATATAAAAAATGATATATATATATATACTATATATATATATATATATATTAAGTAAAAATTTTTTGCAGCTCTAATTAAATTAGAAAAGTTATATTTATAACACCATGTTATATAACACCCTATCAGTCATAGGACATGTCTATATATAAGAGTTTGCATTGCTATTACTTATAAATCAAATGAGTTAACTTACCTCAATTTAATATGTAAATTTATGTAAAAAAATCATTTAAATTTAATTTTTGTAAAAGTATATATATAAACCTTTCTCTAAATTTTAAATATATAAAAAAATCTATTTCTTGAAAAATTCTCTATCCCTTCCCTTAAAAATTCTTTGGACCATTTTAATGAATAGTTCGATACAGTTTTCCCTGTCTTTAGTCGTCAATTCTCAACCCCTCCCAACAAAGACGAAACCAAAACACGGTTACAATT